TCTTTCAGTTTCAAGCAGCCAATTAGCTGGCAAAACGCTATGGCACAAGGAGGAGTGTTTGCTACCATTTGTTTCCCAAGAATCCTGTACTAAAACTTGTTTTCCAGGAACAAATTTCTTTATTTTTCAAAGACCTATTCAACTACATGATTGTCGGAGTCACCTGAGTTGGCCAGTTCGTCAACAGTTTATCATGGATTCTCCCCTTTACTTTCTGGACTTAAGTGAGATGCAGCCAACCCTCTCCTCGACAAATCATTTGTATTATAGTGTGGTTTTTGCTTTAAACACCTTTTTTTAAGCCTCTCCTTCCCTCACTTATTTCTTGTGCTCATTAAGTTTACCACAATTTTGCATTGCTTATTTTGCTTTTTGCTACCCCCTTATTTCGCGTCAAACTTCTATGAAGCAAGAGGATGCTTAAAAAGCCGCATTCTCATTCTCCGTCTTTCGATACCCAACAAGACGCTACTTTCAACAACCTTACAGCAACAGAGAAAGCTTACTTTTTCGAAAGCGGGTCGAGTGCATTCCGATTTGTGTAGTTGACCAGTGCATTGAATGACTGATTGGCCCATTGCCAGAACACTGCCGCACCGGTGCTTCTGAACTGCGAATTTCAGCAGAACCAGAAGCCAAAAGAGATGCAAGCAAAAAAGCCAGCCCAAACCACTCACCGGTACCAGAGCATCATTGCACCGCACAGCATTGTTCCACCCCATGCATTTGCGCACATGCGACCGGGCAACGTCTGCAGCTGACCGGTGTCTGGATGGAAAGCCGAGCCATAGAACGCCTGGGCACGCTGCAAATCCGCCACACCAGTCCCGGCCGGTTCGCGCCCTTGCCTGTAAGCTGCTTCATTATTATAAAAGCACGGTCATTCCAGGTGGTATTTATTCATCGGATAACACTCACTTGAGAAACTGGAGAACTGCAAATTATTGGTATTGGCCCAGTTTTTACACACAAAAAAAACTGATGTGTAAGTAAACACGCAGCGCTCATCATAGCACTTTTTTTACCACTTTTTTCACACAGAAAAAAATGCTAGAAAAAAATGATATGTGTGATGAGTGTCAAAGAACTGAGACACTGCACTGCCAAGTTCGAAATGAGAACAGCAAACCTGTACAGTTCGAGAAGTCGCTTGCTATCCTGAAGTGTCTGGCGACTGGCAAATGCTTTCAGTGGATCAGTGATGGCCATAAAATAACGCAAACGCCCCAAAAATTTACTCTGATCCCACCTGCAAATTCAACACACAACCAGTGTTGCTTGCGTATATGGTGGCTTCTCCTGGCGGTATCCAGAAGTTGCTATGAAGACGAACTCCCAAACAAACTAGACATTAAAAATCTCACAAACAGAACGCAAAGGATTACGCTCTTCGACTCTCCCAAATAATATGATGCGGAGGGTATCCCCAGTCCAAAAAAAAAAAAAAAATGGACAACTGCATGTAGGCGGAATTGGCATGGACGCACCGAAAAGTAACTGCTTCATGGTCAAGCATGCGCAAAAATCCGTACGGAAACCTAAGAACTGTTACTTTGTTTCAGGAAATTTTGATTGCCAATTAGCATTGATGTACAACAATTGTGGGTGATAAAAGTCTCTAAATTTGGAAATCACAAATACTAGCAGTAGAAGTGCACAAATGGATTTAGCTACAGAAACTTATTATTTATACCTCGGCTCGTCGACGTTGTATCGTTGTGTTGCTGTTGCTGCGACCAGTTCCGACGACATTTCAACAACATAAGTTTGGCGCTTCAAATAACACGCTGTGGAAC